AGTCAAGGTGAGAACCTGGACCCCAGAGCTTGGGGCAGGCCTGCCAGGCTGGTAGTATCCAGAGCACGGCGGGCACGTGCTGAGGATTAAGTGCTCAAGTACATGGGGCCTAGAAGGGGAAGGCAGAAGGGGTCAGGGAGGCTTCCTGGAGGAGGTGGACAGCAAGTCTGAGGCTGAAGGTTGGCCAAGGAGGAAACTCAGGGCAGGAGGAGACAGGCTGAGGCCAGGAGCAGCCCGGGCCTCCAGGTGGGCCCCAGGCTCTGCTCACCCCCACGACAAGCCTGAAGCAGGAAGATCTTGGGGCGGCCCTGCAGTGCCCTGCAGCGGCTCAGCTCCAGTACCAGGGTCTCCGGCTGCACCTCTTGCCCATCTGCCCCTACCAACTGCCCCTGCTGACCACCGTGGGCCATCAGGGCCACCAGGGCACAGCTCACAGGGCCCCTATGCGTGTCCAGCTGCTCCTGGAACTGGGCCAGCTCTTCCTGGAAAGCCTGGGGTGGGAGTAGGGAGCGAGATTGAGGCCTGGGCTCTGGAGCTGGCCTGTTCTGCACCTGGCTGTCCCCTGTCTACTCGACCTCTCGCCTCCAGCCAGATTCGGGCCCTGTGGGGAAGTCCTCTCTGGAACCCCCACTGCAAGGCCAGGCATTACCTCATTGGAGGTACATACAGTCCAGCCTGCCACAGCTGGCACCCTCTGGCCCCTGCAAGGAAGCTGCCAGAAAGTTAAGCGGTGTGAAAAGAGGGCAGTGGGCTGATGGGTGTCCGGGAAGGAAATCAAGATACTTGGAGGTAAAGCTTGAGAGTCCAGCTGGGGCCCTGTGCTGGGAATCAAAGGAACCGCAGTCATGGGAGGCTGCAGGAAGCCTGGGAAGTGACCGCCAAAGGCATGCAGCAGGAAGGAAGGAGGCTGGACTTCTGGGCACACTTCCTGCCCCCAGGTCCTGGGTGAGGGGTGTCAGGGCCCCTCCCCGGAAGTTCCACGCTCCCCTCACCTGGGCTATAGGGTCCATCCTCACGGTGGTCTCAAAGCCCAGGCTCCGGCACAGGCCCCCCAGCGCCTCCACGTCACGTTGGGTCCCGGGCCGGCCCTGGATCACAGCCAAGAAGAGGGCCGCCCTGGTCCCGGACAGGTCATACTGTGCCCTGGGGCTGGGCTCTGGCTGCAGCGAGGGCGAAGTCCTGACCAAAGTGGTCCGGGAGGGCGCCTTGCCTCCCCCACCTCGGGCTCCCCCGGCCTCTGTCCCACTCTCAGCTGCGGCCACAGGATTGAGCCCCCTCCCCACCCACTCACCTCGGGTCCCCAGTCCTGCACGCCTCCCAGGCACAGCGCCCCCCTCAAGGAGCTGCGAAGGACCGGGCAGGAGGTGCCCCCTGAGGACTCCTCGGTCGCCCTTCGGAAGACCTGAGGGGTGGGGCCAGAAGGCACCTCAGGTGGCTGCTCCTTGGGGAAGGGGGAGGTTCAGGGAGGTCCCAACCCAAGCAGGCAGCCCAGACCCCGGCTTCAGGGGTTGACTCATGGTCACTGCAGTCCCTTTGGGGTCACCTGCTAGAATGGAGGGACAAGGGGGCAGACAAGAGGGGAAAGGCAAGACGGAACTAGGCAGGACCTGAGTTCTAGCTCAGGCTCAAGGTCATGGACTTGCCTGAGTGTGGCGGACAGAGGCCGCACCACTCACTCCCCCTGGGGCTCTGTGTACAAAGGGGTGGGGGCTCCCTAGGGCAGGGCAGGGCACCAGCACCCTGCATGCCCCTCAGGACAGCTCACACAGAGCAGGGAGCAGAGCTGAACCCACACCTCTCACCTCTGGGGTTGCCAAGGGCCCCCAACTCCCCCGTGAGATCTGTGGGCCTCAGGCCAGATCTGAGTCATTCCCAGCCTCCAGGACCTGCGGGCTAACGGGTGTGAGAGTGGAAGGGATGGACAGAAGGACAAGCCTCCACTGGGGGAGCATGAGGGAGGCGTCGCTGACGGTCCGGAGGGGACTGTGCTGACGGCCCAGAGGGGGACCGTGCTGCTGGTGGGGGAAACGGAGGGGGTGTGCCAGCAGCAGGAAAAGCTTCCTGGGCAAAGGCACGGGACGGGGAGCAGTCTGCACATTTGGGGGACCCTGAGCGTGCTGTAAGGCGCAGTGTAGGATGGGAGGGCAGGCTGAGGCTGAGGACACGTGGGGAGACAATAGGGCTGGGACAGAACGGTGGGCGGGCATACGAATGAATGTCAGTGTGTGGCAGGCTCAGGAGCACCCAGCGCAGCCTGCCTCCCTGGGCTCCTTCTCTGGGCCCCCACCTCCGTCAGCAGCTGCAGCAGCGACCAGTGAGGACAGCGGCCACAGAGCTCGGCCAGGCCCAGGAGGAAGGTTCCAGGCTCTGGAGTGGCTAGGGAGGAAGCAGCATGCTGGCGCAGAGGGAGACCTCAGGGAACCCCCCGTCCTCCTGCCTGTCCCTTACCCCACCCTTCCAACCTGGATTTGCCCTGTTCCAGAGCCAGGGGTCCCTACCCAGGCCACTCACCCCCCGGAGCACTCGAGAGCAGCAGGAAGAGCTTGGGGCAGCCCCGCAGGGCCCCACAGCAACTCAGCTCCCGGGCCAGCTTCTGGGGCCGCCTCAGCTGCCCACGGGGGGCCACCACGGCCACCAGGGCACAGCCTATGGGGCCCCCGTGGGCGTCCAGCTGCTCCCGGAACCCAGTCAGCTTCTCCAGGAAGCCCTGATGGCAAGAGCAAGGGCCCGGCCTGAGATCCCTCCCGGTGGGGTGCTGGGGGCGGGGCTGAGAGGTGACGGGGCAAGGGCTCACCTGAACGGGGGCCTCCCTTTGCGTGAGACTCTCAAAGCCCAGGGTCTGGAGTATGTTCTCCAGGACAGCGACTGTGGCGGCCGGCACCCCCGGGCTGCTGAGCAACAGAGCCACCCTTGGGCCCAGTAAGCTGTACCTCCCCTGGGGAAGCAAGGCCGGACTTGGGCTGGGCCAGGTGCAGGTAGGAGCCAGGCATGGGCTAGGCCAGGCCTCCTGCTACCTTTCTGCCCAGGCTCTCCCGAGCGTCTGCCATTTGCGCGGCCACCCGCAGGGTCCCAGCCACCAGGAAGGCCATGGTGCCAGCAGAGCTTCCTCCAAGCTTCCCTCTGGGCCTCAGCCCCAGTGCCTGGGTCCCAACCCTTGCCCTCTCCTGAAGCTTTGTCCCTATGTGCTGTTTATGAAGTGGGCTGGACTCTGCACCCTGCCCCTGTAACCCTGGGCCCCACTTCCCCAGCTGCGGCTCCATGCCCTGCTCCAGGGGACGTCCCAGCTGGTACTCTGCACCCTCACCAGGCCCTATTCTTAGCTCCTGGCCCATGCGTCTATCTGATCTTGTTAGACCTGATAGCTCCCAGATCCGGCCACCAGCCCTGCAGACTCTGCACTGTTCCCCAGGCCTCACCCCTCACCCACCCCCCCCGACACACCTGCACATGCCAAGTACAGACGCACACGCATTGTGTGGACAGCCCACAGGCTAACCGAGGGCCCTGGGGGCAGAGCCCTGAGAGGGGAGTGGTGACAGTGGCCCAGAGCCATCCAGAGCCTCAGCCAGCAACCTCAGGACGAAGAGGGTGAATCAGGTGGCTGAGGAAGGACCCGCACACAGGCCAGGTACCTCCCCTCTGGTGGGGGGCACCGAGGCCACTGCCCTGCACACAGGAAGTCACCAGCACGGGGGAAGGAGGGGTTGCTCTTTGGCGACCAGAAACTTGAACCTGCTCCCAACCAGCACCCACCGCAGGCCACAGCCTGGGCCCCAGGGGGCAGGGGCCAGTCCTCCCTGGGCTGCACCGCTACTGCCTGAGGGTCTCCACCCGTGACAGCGGGGAGAAAGCAGCCGCCTGGGGAAGACCACACCCCCCACCGGGCTCCTCAGCTCTGAATCCCCTCACACTGTGACCTGCCAGGGTGGGGAGGGGTACCAGCTATCCCCTCCGGAGCTGCCCCAGGCCAGGGTGCTGCAGAGGATGGAAGCCCGGGACTCAGGCTGCCCTTTGGGGCCTGGCTGGCCTGAAAGCCAGGGTGCGGCTCCACCTGGTGATGGCCCAGCGCCACATGCCAACGGGACAACCAGGCCAGGAAGCCCGGCCCCCACCTCCCCAAAGGACAGAGCAGCCTGGCAGGAAGTTCTCAGGTTTATTCGAGCCATCGGTGGCTCTCGAGGGCGGCTGGGCCCAGTGCCTCTGAAGGGTCTCGTGGTCTGTCCCTATGAATGCAAAGCTGCAAATGCCACCTACAGACGGAGGGAATGCAGTGCGCAAGGCCCCAGCCCAGTGCCGACCAAGTGCTAGCGTTCGATGAAGTCACCCCAGACCGGCCCCCCACCCCCCACTGGCTAGGGGGAGGCCCCCAAGGGCACGGCTGGGGGCGAGTGCTGAGAAGGCAGGCAGCCTGTGTCTCCAGGACGGGGCAGAGATCACAGAACATTAGAATGGTCGGTGATGAGGGGTCCCTGCACCACCCTGCAGGGAAGCAGGAAGCCCGTGGCCTCGCCCAGGATTCAGACCCTCGTGGCGATCCCTGATTGTCCCTCCTAGGGCCCAGAAAAGGGGTCAAGGCCTGCCCCACGCCCTCCGCTCCCATGGAAGGCACAGGTTGGCAGGGGTAAAGGGTGGCCACGCACCCACCTGAGACAGCAGGGGACACAGTCCCCAGCCAAAGAGGCTGTAGGAGGTCTGGGACGGGGACCCTGGCTTTGCCCCAGGCCTCCTGCACCCCTGCCACCCCAGCCTTCCCCACGTGTCTGTGGTGACTGGCGAGCGCGGCCAGAGAGGAGGAGAGACGTGGAGCGGGGGTGATGACAAGGTTACAGGGCTCCACCGGGAGGGCCGGGCAGGTCCCTGGAGTGGAGTCGGGTGGGGTGTGTTCTGCGCAGTCCAGGGCGGCGGGGCAGACACGTGACGAGGAGTGACGGGGCCGCAGGGGCAACCACGTGCTGCTGCCTGGCACTGTGGGGGGAGCTCACCGGCGGGGTGGCGCCCAGTCACCCCACAGGCTGGGCCATCTTGGCGTGCAGGCTCTGGTGAGCAATGAGGTGGGCACGCTGCTTGAAGCTCTTGTCACACTCGCCGCAGCCGAATGGCCGCTCGCCGGTGTGCACGCGCCGGTGGTCCAGCAGGTAGGAGCGCAGCGAGAAGCTCTTGCCGCAGTCGCTGCAGCCAAAGGGCTTCTCACCCGTGTGGATGCGCTGGTGGTCGGCCAGGTAGGCGCTGCGGCTGAAGCTCTTGCCGCACTCAGAGCAGGAGAAGGGCTTCTGGCCCGTGTGCACGCCCTGGTGGCGCACCAGGTCAGAGGAGCTGCGGAAGCGCTTGTCGCACGCCTGACACTTGTGCGGTTTCTCGCCTGTGTGCGTGCGCTGGTGCCGCGCCAGGTCCGAGCCCCAGCGGAAGCGCTTGCCGCACTGCCCGCAGCTGTGCGGCTTCTCGGCCGCCAGGTCCCGGAACTGCCGCCGGCGCGTGGGTGGCCGTCCTCGCCGCGCTCCCCCGACCCGGCCCAGTGGCATCCCTGGCTGGTTCTCACTCTCCCATGCCTCAGCCTCCTCGGGGCTCCAGGACATGGCCGTGTCGCGGCCAGCCTGGCCAGGTGACACCATCACCGCCTCTTCCAACCACGACTGCTTGCTCTGGCTTTTGAGCCCCAAACCTGCAAGGGGAAGGGAAGCGGCCTCCTCAGTCCCACTGGGTTCTGGGGCCAGAGCTGACTCCGGGGGTGGCGCCCGGCTTCAGACAGCCCTGCACCTCAGTGTCCTCGTCTCTAAAATGGGCGTCATGACACAAAGCCAGCAGAGAAGCAGTTCGGAGTGAGTGTTGGGGATCCAGCTGCCGGGCCCTGACTGCAGAGGCACTCACAATACCCACGGCCTCAGGCACGTCACCAAACCAGCCCTGCCTCAGTTTCCACACTGGATCCAGTGACCCAGCTCTGAACCCTGGCTATCTGGACTCCAAAACTGAATAGGTTTAAGTAAATTTCTAAAATCCTCCAAACTCTCACACTTCGCTACCCAAAACTAAGGGACCAGTCTCAACTGATGTGGTTCCTCTTGCTGCAGGAACTCTTGGTATCCAAACTCTGGAGGAACGAGATGTAAGCAGGGAGGGTTCCTGTCCAATCACATCCTGAGGATTAAATGAGATGCTCCCTGAACCGTTCTGAGAAAGGTACCCCCACTTAGCAGAAGGGGGTCAGTCCGTGCACACAGCGGGTGCTTTCACGGTGAGTGCCTCTCAGTGGCAGGCGGGCTGGCCCCGCTCGTCATAACCGACAGCCTGGGGTCCCAGCTCTACCCTGCCAGTGTCAGGTGACCCAGGCTCAGGCTTCCCATCTGCAAAATGGGGATGAAACTCCCCTGCACTGGATGGTGAGAATCGACGGAGGAGACGCACCACGAGAGCCCAGCACGGAGGCCGGCACGCAGCCAGCACTCCCCAGCATGCTCCAAGGCACAAGAAAGCGAACCGTCCGCATGGCGAGGGAGGCAGGGCGCTGCTGGACAGAGGCCAGGAGAAGGCCCACTTCAAGCCAGCTACGCATGGCAGAGTGGGGAGAAGACCTGAGAGTTGTAGCAGGACAGGGAAGCGTAGCCTGCTGCGGCGCCCCTCTGCTGCTGGGACCCCAAAGAAGGTTGCAGCCTCTGTCTCGGAAGAGCCAAGGACTCCAAGGTCCTGGCTGTGTCCATTGGTCCACAACTTACCTGGGGCAACATTCCGCGAGTTCTCCCGCTTTATGTCCCAGAAGAGATCCCTCTGAGCAGGGTCCAGGGATCCCCATTCTTCCCGGGAGAAGTAGAAGGGAATGTCCCCAAATGTCACAGGTCCCTGGAATGACGCCAGGAGATGAGGTTCGGAGCTCCTTGCTGAGGACTCCCCAGGCAGCTGTGGGCAGGGACAGGAGGGGCTTGGGATGGGGAACGGAACGGGTCCAGGCAGAGACGGGGTGGGTGGAAGAGGACAGGGCAGACAGGAAGCCAAGGCTCATTTCAGGGACTGGACAGCGCCGAAGGGCCTCAGGGAGGACGGAGGGGCTGCTTACTCACGTGGACCCCAGAAGCAAGGCAGGCATCTGTGGTTTCGCTGGGACTCCCCTCTTTAGGAAGGGCAGGGGGCTGGGGGGCAAGCTGGTCTGAGAGGAAAGAACAGAGCCTCAGAGAGGCCAGCTCAGGCCTGGATGGAGACTTCACACCCTCCCCTGCCCAGACAGACACCCACAGACCTAGACACACGCCTATATACATACCCACACCCAGACACTCAGACAGGTAAACCTAGACACACACATACATACGTACCCATATCCAGACACTCAGACAGGTAAACCTAGACGCACGCACGCACGCGCACACACGCCTGGGTTTCACACACACACACACACACACACACACACACACACACGCCTGGGTTTCACAGAGGCAGCAGTGCCCTGCCTACCACACATGGAGCCGCTGCAGCCTGCAGGGAGAGGCCTACTCACCACCGTGGCTGGGCTGCTCCTGGGGCAGCCGGCTCCGTGCCCCCGTCTTTAGGGGAGGCCCCTTGGCCTGGGCTCTCTGGACCGTGGGCTCGGCTTCCACCTCCTCTGAAGGCACATCCTGTGCAGGAACCACAACATGCTCATCAGCATGGAGCCCCGACTGGGGAAGACAGAGTCTAATCCCTGGGAAGGAGACACAGGAGACATCCCTCAGGATGCTGGGGTGTGGGAAGGAGATGTGCACGGGGCCCCAGGGACAGTCCAGAGCAGAACGTGACACCAGGCAGTGCTGTGCGCCCAAGAACCCCCCGATCTACCACGAGACCAGAGCCAGATCCCCAAGGCCAAGTCGCAAGGCCACCTGGCAAGGGGATGTGGAGGGGGCCCTGCTGCCAAGGCAGAGCCCACACCCAGCCCCTCACTTGGCCCCCAGAGGCCTCTAGTGTCAAGACCCGCCACCTCACAAGACAGCGGGCTCCACGGACAGCTCTACCTTCTCAGACCCCTTCTGGAGCTCTGATCATACGTGTCACTGTATCCCAGGGCCTGGCCTAGAGCAGAACACGAATGGGCGCTGGCAGAACCTGCGTACAGCTGAAACCTGCCCTCCTCGGCCCCGCTGCTGCCCTCCCCCTGGAGCCAACGAAAAGAACTCCGATTTCTTTCTGGAGGTGTCCTTCAGAGGTTCACCATGTGTGTGCCATGCCCGTGTGCACACGCCCCTGCTCTGTGCCCCCCACTCCGACCCCACGGGCCTCCTGGAGGACCTGGCTCTGTGGACACGGCCTCGCCCCTCAGCCCAGGTTCCTCCGGATGCCCCTCCCCCAACACCCGCACCTGGATGTGGAGGGACCCTCACCTGCTGCCTGGCCTTCCCTGGCTGCTTCTTCAGGTCCTCCACCAAGGCGACTGCCTCTTCGCCACTTCTGGGGCGCTGCTCACGCACCCAGCCCTGGACGCCGCCAGGCAGCACATTCAGGAACTGCTCCAGCACCAGCAGCTCCAGGATCTGCTCCTTGGTGCGCAGCTCAGGCCGCAGCCAGCGGCAGCACAGCTCCCAGAGCTGGCTGAAGGCCTCGTGGGGCCCACCCACATCCCCATAGCAGAAGTGCCGGAAGCGCTGGCGGCAGGACTCAGCATCCCTGCTGTCTTCTTGCTGGGCGGAGTCCTGCTCCCAGGAGGAATCTTCCACCTTCACGATCAGAAGCCCGTCTCCCTCCCCAGGGGCCTGGTCCTGGGGCTCCAGAGGGGCTGCCATCCCCCGGGTCCTGGGGCTCAGGGCTGGTCGGCCTCAACCTAGCCCGAGCCTGCCCCTCAGTCTCCCAGTGGATTCCCCTGTGGCAGCCGGGCCACCATCTGGACACACGCTCCTGGGAAAGAGCAAAACAGCAGGATGGGAGTGGGGGGGGGGGGCAGAGGCAAACACCACCCGAAGGGACTTCTGGGGACTCCAGCTCCTGTCTCTCAGAGACCTGAAGTCTGTTTGAAGCTGGGCTGTAAAGCCTTCATGTGACTGTCACTCCTCATACAGGTCCACAGCCCCTCAGCCACAGCTCTGAAAGCCAAAACCCCGGCTTTCCCATCACCTGCTTGACAGCGACACCTAACCTAGCTCATTTGGCTGCAGCATCTGACCTCTGATAGGAGACAATTTATAATCTTCATTTCTTCTTCTTAAGCTAAGTGGTCAAATATTTTGGAACAGAAATATTAATGTAAACATTCAGGTAAAACTCATCAAGCTGTACTTACAATATGTGCGTTTCTCTGCATATACAGTAAAACCTGTGAAAGCCAGAACTTGTGTAGGAAGGAAACTGGCCAGAGAAGGAAAACACAAATATTTTCCACTAAAACAAGCGATAGAAAAGAGGTCAGACTGCACCCTGTCGAGGGCAGAAATTTTGTGAGAGCTGGAAAAACAAGGCAGTCCCGTTAAACTCCGGCTCTCACAGGTTTCACTGTATATTCTACTTCAATAAAAAATTTTAATGAACATGTTTGATTATTGAGTGTTGCCCCAGATCCTGTTGGAGATGGGGTACTGTAGTATCTTTCTCAAATCTGAAAATGTCTAAATTCCAAAACACATCAGGCCCAGTGGTTTCAGAGACAGGCTCATGGCCATGATTCCACGCCATCAGCCACAGGTTCTTCTCAATGTACGACACACGTTTGTTCCTTACCCTGTCAGTTACTCCCCACAATCATCCGGAATGGTGTGTATTTTGGGTTTTGCGTTAAATTGCCTTTTTTGTTTCAACGAGAAAAGTAATACAAACCATCGTGGGAAAAAAAAAGGGGGCAAGGAGCTCAAACAATATAGAAATCCACGCTGGTGCTGTTAGTTGCCTTCAAGTCAACTCCGACTCCTGGTGACCCTGTGTGTGAACTGCTCCATAGGGTTTTCAGGCCTGTGACCTTTTGGATGGAAATCACCAGGTCTATCTTTCCAGCTGCCTATGGGTGGGTTGGGACCTTCAACCCTCACAGCTAACACATCGTTTAACCGTTTTCGCCACCCAGGCATGGAAGAGGAAACACCTCCCACAATGTGGCTGAGTCCCCCAGGATCTCTGTTAACAGCATGACATACGACCCCGCCGACCTAACAATGTTTCTTCACTGGCGGGGTCGTCGGCTTCCCGACATGGATGTGCTCCAGTCTCTTAACCAATTCGCTAGTGATGCATTTGAGTTGTTCCCAAGTCTTCTCTACTGCACACTAAGCACTTCGTTTACTTAGTTCTTCTATCCCTCACCCCACCATTCTCATCCTGCAGTGCTGGAGGAGGAAGCGCCGCTCGGAGAGGGCCAGGGACTCACCAGGATCGCTGAGCCGCACGCGGCAGGCGGGAACGCGGCCCGGGCGGAGCCCCGCGCTCTGCCACCCGCAGCCCGGAGCTGAGGAGGGGGCGGGCGCGCTCGGGTTTCTGCCCAGGAACCGAGCGAGCGGCCGGGCGGAGGGCGACCCGAACTCCTCCCGGCACTTCCCAGCAGTGCGCACTCCTTCGGACTCCACCTCGGGGCACCAGCCCCGGCCCGGAGCCCCGCGTCCGCTTCGGAGCGCCGCCGCCGCCGCCGCCAGCGTCGCCGGTCCCCGCCCCCGGGACACTCAGCGCCCACGGCCGCCCAGGCGTTCCCAGTTCCGTCGCCAGATCCCGCCGCCGGAAACCCGCGCGGGGCTCGCCGGGAAACCGCGGGCGCATCCGTCGCGGGAAGCATTCGGGACTACACCCCGCAGAAAGGCAGTTCGTCTTTTGAACCTCCCTTCTCCCCGAGGAAAGGCCAATCAACAGGGAAAATTCCAGGGATGGCCAATCAGAAAGCAGCGCCGCGAGTTGCGTCAGACCCCTACACCCGGGATGAAGAGCTGGGTTCTGTGCCTTGACTCGGTATGTTCGCTTCCGTCTCCGTGTTTATTTCTGTTTCTCTGTGCCTCTGGTCTCTGAAGGGCAGAAATGGGAAGTCAAGGCCTGGCCTGATGAGCAGACATGGCGCCTGGCCTAGCCAGAAATGGAGCTCCTGCTGCGCCGGAAGGGCTGTGCGGAGGTGACTCTTCCTTCCGCTCGAGTCTCTCTCCGCGCAAGGCAGTGTGTGGAAGGCCGATAACATCGTGGAGCTCGGTCAGCGGAGACCCATTTCCAGCCTCTTGGGTCCCGCCCTCTCCCAAGTCTTTAGCGGCAGGTCGGCAGCTGGAACCCACCCAGCAGCTCCGTGGGAGAAAAGACCTGGCGATGTGCCCCCGTAAAGATTATAGTCTGGGAAACCCTGTGGGGCAGTGTTCCTCTTTCACTTTGGGTCGCTATGAGTCGAAAGTCGTCGACTGGACGGCGCAACAGAGGGGCGTGAAGTTTCCTAGGAAATGCCATCCTGTGGGGGCGCGGAGCCTCTTGCTGCGATTCTCCGTTTCGGCAGGCGGGAACGCTGACCCGGGGGGTCGCCGCGCTTCCCCCACCAGCAGCGTCACCTGCGGGGAGTTGAAACGGCGGCGGGGTCCCGAGGCCGGGAGGGATCTGCAGGATGCAGGCCATATCTGGGAGGCTCAGAGTTCTCTTTTCCATGCAATTGGATCCATTCCCACCTTCTCCACCTGAAGATTTGAGGCTCCAGTTCTTTATCTGAATAGAAAGGGCTTTCTTGTTTTTTGTTTGTTTCGATTATGCAAGTATTGTGTGCTTAATGTAAAAAAGGAAGTAACGAATGTATGAAAATTATAAAGATGTCCCTTCTGGTATCCACAAGGCTAGCTCCTTCACTCTCTGCTCAAATGGTACCCCCTCAAAGAGACATTCCTTAACCCTGTGTAAACAGCTCTCCCACCGTCTCTGCCCTGCCGTATTTTTCTTGCTAACATTTATGACTACCTGATATTATATATATTTGTGTAATATTTGTCTCCCACTATTCGACTATAAGCCCCATTAGGGCAGACACTGTTTTTATGGCACAAGGTAGGGACTCAGTAAATATTTGTTGAATGAACGAAGGCAAAAGACATTCTTAATCCAGAAATAAGCACTATTAGTAGTTCAGTCGGTGTTCTTGCAGTTCTACGTCTATGAATATATTTCTAATACAAACCTGGAGTCAGTCTATAAGTCATGTTTTGCTGACCCCGCAAAGGTATATCAGATACCTTTATCAGCATTTATAAATAAAATTCATCAGTTTTGCAAGCTGTAAAGAAGAAGAATTGATGCATTTGAATTACCGTTTTGGTGAAGAATATTGAACATAGAAGAACGAACAAATCTGTCTTGGAAGAAGTGCAGCCAGAATGCTCCTTAGAAGCCAGGATGGTGAGACCTTTGTCTCACATATTTTGGACATGTTACTGGGAGGGACCAGTTCCTGGAGAAGGACATCATGCTTGGTAAAATGGTGGGTTAGTAGAAAAGAGGAAGATCCTTGAGCTGGATTGACACAGTGGCTGCAACAACAGGCACAAAAAGCAACAATTGTGAGGACGGTGCAGGGCCAGGCAGCATTTCTTTCTGTTGTACGTAGGGTCGCTATGAGTCGGAACTGATTCAATGGCACCTAACAGCAACGTAGCATTCCATAGTATGAAAGTTCCATTTAACCGGTCCCCTACCCTTGTAAATTTAAATTGTTTACATTTTACTTTATTTCCAGATACGCTTCTATATACTTTTGTGCATTTGCTTGAACATTTCCTTAGGAAAAACTAGAAATGGAATTGCTGAATCAAGTTTGAATACATATTTTCAAACTCTTCTCTAGAAACTTCTTTACATTTCTATTTGAGAATCAAATGTTTCCTTCTTCCCCTGAGGCTGATGGAGAGTAAAAAAGGAAGAAACTTAGAGGAGCTCCTCCCCTGTCAATTCAAGGCTGAGATTCAGAGTTCTGAGGGGAGCCCGGCTGCCACAGGAACTCGCAGGTGGCAGATGAAGAAGAAAGGGGCCGGAGGGCATGAAGTTGAAAAACCAGCTGAAGGTTTCGAGCGCAGGCTGTACTGTGACTTTGTGAGGGCGGCTGAGGTGAATGCTACTGGGCTTCCTTTCCTCGTCTCTGTTGGTTCCAGTGGAAATCCACAAAGAAGGAATGGAAGTCCTTTTCTGCAGCTCTGACCTTACAGTGTTCTTCCAGCGCCCTCTATTGGCAAAGCCTAACATGAAGTTGGTTAGCAAAGGAGAAGTGTTTAGAGTCCAGCTCCAGTATTGCAAAGCTGGGCAAAAAGGGTGCATTTAAGGCTGAGGGAATAAGTAATTGCCATTTTCTACTGGGCATTACTTACATGTGGGAAATGATCTGTGTGCAATTATATTGAGACCCACCGCCTCATTGAACTTTCTTATCCTTCTCACAGTTTTTGAGTTTCTTGATGGAAGACTACATTGTGAGGCTGGGAAGGAAATATGGTCAGCCAGTGGTTCTGTGCCAGGATTGGTGGCTGAGTTTTCCTCAGTTCACGTCTACTCTTAGAAGTTACCTTGTTTGGTGAGTGGCCTGTTAAATGAAGATCCCTGTATTCACTTCCTGTGGCTGCTGTAACAAATTACCACAATCTTGGTGACTTAAAGCAGAAATGTATTATCTCAGTTCTTGAGACCAGAAGTCTCAGATCAGTACCACAGCGTAACTCAAGAAGTTAGCAGGACCAGACTCTCTCCAGAGACTCTAAGGGAGAATCTGTTTCTTGCCTCTTCCATCTTTTGGTGGCTGCCTGCATTCCTTGGCTTATGGCCACATCACTCCAATCTCTGCCTCCGTATTCACATTGCCTTCTCCTGTCTATGTCAAATCTCCCTCTGCCTCTCTTGTGATGGCATTTAGGGCCAACTGGGATAATCCAAAGGAGCCCTTGTGGCATAGTGGTTA